AGAATGAATCTTTACTACCCAGTTGGTACACTATGTGGGCCTAGCACAGCACATCAGTAGTGGGTGGGGAGGTTTGTGAAGCCAATTGCTCGCCAAAGCCTGACAAACGCAGCCTCTCATTTGATTCCGCAAATCTTCGTCGAGGGATGCATAGATCAGAAATTCATTTGTTTCACAAATATTTGTTGAGTTCCTGCTATGTGCCAGTCACGGTGCTGAGTCAGGCGCTGAAGAAAAAAGCCATTTATGCTCTCTCGGAGCTTATGTTTAGTTTAATTTTTCCTGAAAATCCATTTTACAGGCGAGGAAACCAAAGCATAGATCCATACCTGGCAGAGAGCTGGGGTGAGATAACGCTGGCTGGATCCCCCTAGGGGTCTGAACCATCACTCCCGCTCTGAGGTCCGGGTCTCCAATTCCTTGGGAAACCTTCGTGTGACCCCTCTTTCCCATTCCTCTCGAGGTGCTGGGCTTCAGCAGCCCGCGCCCAGCTCCAGCGCTACCCCTCGAGGTGCTGGCAGTAGCGGCGGACGGATAAAAGCAGGCGGCGACGCGAACTAACCCCTACCTAAAGTTTGGCGAGCTCGTCTTGGGCGGGGCGTGAAGCGGCCGAGCCCCGCCCCCAGCTCTGCTGCTCGCCCAGTGCGCATGCGCAGCGGGCTGTGCGCTACCTCTCGGCGGCACCGCCCACCACCTGGGGACGTCGACTGCGCGCCGCGCGTTTGGCCAGATAAATGCGGTGGCGCCGGGCGTAGGAGCACTTCGACCTGGAGCGCCTGAGCGTTCGGACGTTTGGTGGCGTTGTGGCCCGCGCCTGAGCCCGCCCTGCTTTTCGCTGTGCCATGGCGGACGGGGGGAAGTCATACAACGGTCAGTGCTGGCCCCATGTCGGGGAGCGGGGCGATTGCGGCCCAGGTGGGCAGCGCCGGCCTAGGCCGCAGCAGAGGCAGGAGGCCGCGAGGGGTCGGCGTCCGCGGGGAACGGCAGCGGCGCGGGCCGGGGGCGAGGCAGCCCAGGGGCCCGGCCGGACTCGAGGGAGGGCGCCCGTGTTGTTGACTCCGGAATCCTGGCGTTGCGAGGAGCTGCGGCTCGGAGCGGGTGGCTCGGCGGTGGGGTGACGAGATTCCTTTGAACTTTGTGGGCGGTGGATCCCTGTCAGTTCAGTTTGGCGGCCAGACTCTTTTAATGTGAGTCAGTGCCCTGCTCATGGGCTACCTGTGTCCTATTTTCTATCGCGTCCAGTGGGTCTTACCCTCCCCCCCACTTCGTCCTGCAGCGTTGGTTTAATATTTTAGACCTACACACCAACTCGATGTTCTCGACCAGGCATTACCCTGGGTCCAGAGTAGTCATTTGGAGTACATGACAGCCAAGGTTTCAATCCTGAGTTGGCTACACCAAGCTTGAGTGAGTTAAGCTCTCAGGCCTCATTTTCCACCCCTTTAATTCAGGTAGAAACAGTACCTACTAAGTTTGTATTCGTGTGTGTGTGTGTGTGTGTGTGTGTGTGTGTGTGTGTGTGTTAAAATGAGATCATTCATATCGAGTGCCTGGCACTGGAGAAAGTTCTCAGTGACTGTTAGCTGTGCCTTCTGTTTATTTTTTTCTGGATTCATTTCTTGAAGTTCATTGTTTGCAGAGTACTGAGCATTAAACAGACCTTTTTGGGGAGTCATAAGTCTTTTTTTAAGAAGCCATTCCTACACACCAGGAGTCAGAGGGTCATATTTTTGGACAGCTTTTGAGAACCCTTGCTTAAGCACCCTAGTTACCACTGGAGCTTGCATCTACGATTTGTTTTCTGAGTTCAAAGGCATTTCTGGCCAAGGAAGTAAAGTACTCACTCCCAAAACTTGAGAACAAGAGTTTTAAAGAAGCCCTATAAGTTCGGGTTTTCTTTTTTTTTTTTTTTTTTGCAACTGACATTTGTACTGTATAGGCAGAAGAATCATCCTTTGCTGAAAGTTGATGTAATCATTGTGATGGATTGGTTTAAGAAGGTGGGAGAGAGGTCATCATCCAAATATTGAGTAGGGTTAAGTAGATTTGGAAGGCTGAGTGAAAGCAGATTTTGGATGACTTTTCAGGGGGTCTGAGTTGTGTCCAGTTCTACTTTTAGATCACTCACACTTCCACGTTACATTTCTCTTCTCTGTAGTTCCAGTTTCTGCTTCATTTTTCAAAAGCCCTGGAGTTTCCCAGTGATATTTCCCTGTTGCTGCCATCCCACAGAGAGGGTTCTTTCTCTGGACAGGCGGAGGAGTTTGCGTGGTGGTGGCCTCTATAGTTAGTGTGTATCTCACCCTGATAGTGCAGGGTGCTGGGTACTGTGATTGCCACAGCAGGGCAGCTGGACCAGTGATGCGTCTTTTAATTTGTGTTCTGTTTCCAACTCCAGAGCATGATGATCGTGTTAGTTTCCCTCAAAGAAGAAAGAAAGGCCGGGGTCCTTTCCGGTGGAAGTGTGGTGAGGGAAACCGTAGGTCTGGAAGAGGAGGTGCTGGCATTCGATCTTCCCGCCTTGAAGAAGATGACAGAGATGTGGCAATGAGCGATGCCCAGGATGTTCCCCGAGTACGATAGTAAGTAGCTATTTGATCTGGTTTGAATTATTGACTCATTCATTTATATAGCCCTTTTACTGTCCACGTCATTTGTCTTCCTACCTACCAGAGCGAGAATTGCCAGAACCAGCTTAATGGTTGAACAGTCTCAGTTGTAGTCCTAATAACAGTGCAGCAGGGTCTTCGAGAAGACAGCTCTTGTGTTTATGGACATTGTATTCTCTACTTCCACACAGCAACCCCTATACTGCACGACCCAACCGTCGGGGTGATAATTGGCACGATCGAGACCGCATTCATGTTACTGTGCGGCGAGACAGAGCTCCTCCGCAGAGAGGAGGGGCCGGCACCAGCCAGGACGGGACCTCGAAGAACTGGTTTAAGATTACAGTGAGTGTCTTGGGAAGAGATGGTGCAGGGGAGATGGGGGCTGGGCTCAGAGTTAAGGTGCTTCCTCATCACTCCACCAAGTTAGTCTTCTCAGCTGTTTACTCCACAGTCAGGTATCCATCCTTTCTCCTAAGAATCAGTGTCTGTCTACGGCCATGCCACCCTGAACAAGCCCGATCCCGTCTGATTTCAGAAGCTGAGCAGGGTCGGGCCTGGTTAGTACTTGGATGGGAGACCACCTAGGAAGACTAGATGCTGTAGGTGTAAAAAAAATAAAGGAATCAATGCCTTAGAACACCCAAAGGAAGGTTCAGAAAAGGAGTAGGAAGGATAGGCAGGATGGGAGGAAGGAAAGGCCATCTAAAGGAAAATGTGATAACTGGATGTCTCCATTTGGCTCAAGCTGAGTTGGGGAGGTTGATTTCTCAGGGGCAGGCAAGGTATAAATAATATCTTGGGACTTTGAGTCAGACAATTTCATTCTTTTGGTGAATATAAGTATAAAGAGAAAGGAGGTTAAGGAATCCATGTCTGGCTCCAGTGGAAAGCCTTTACCTGGTGCTTTCTTTAGAAAATCTTAAAGTTTGGCAAACTATGTGAAGCAATAGATTGAATTTCCTGTCTAGCCTTAGTTACATATTGTGCTCTTTCTTTCATGTAGATTCCTTATGGCAGAAAATATGACAAGTCGTGGCTCCTGAATATGATTCAGAGCAAGTGCAGTGTTCCTTTTACCCCCATTGAGGTAAGATTAGGCCTGAGTGGCTGGCTGAGCACCAAGGAAGGAAGCGGGGCCAGGTGGGCCAGGGGCTCTGGGCTCCAAGTCTAATGCTCTCATTTTCTCTTCTTGTAGTTTCACTATGAAAACACAAGGGCCCAGTTTTTTGTTGAGGATGCCAGTACTGCCTCTGCATTAAAGGCTGTCAACTATAAGATTTTGGATCAAGAAAACCGAAGGGTGTGTATAAAGGGCCTGGCTTCTAGCATGGCTGGAGGCAGGGATCGCTGCTCAGGGCACTGGGTCTTGTTCCTGGTACTTAGGTTTCCCTAGAGTTCACCGTGCCCTTGTGTCTTCTCTGCAGATATCCATCATCATCAACTCCTCTCCTCCACCCCTTACTGTACAGAATGAACTGAAGCCAGAGCAAGTAGAGCAGCTAAAGGTGAGGTAGACTCAAGTCACGCGTTTCCACCCCAGTCCTAGTGGTTCTCACATTCCCCACCGCCTGCTCACAACTGCAGTGACCTGACCACTGAAAACTCTTACTTTCTCTGTAGCTGATCATGAGTAAACGATATGATGGCTCCCAACAAGCACTTGACCTCAAGGGCCTC